GACATAAACCTGCTGGGGGAAGTGTGCCGCACCTCTACCTTTCTCCAAGAAGGGGGTGGAGTAAGGTGTGTCCACTCAGAGAACTCCCTTTGTGAGGTGCTCTGAGTCCTCTCTCTTCCTCCTCAGCATTCTTTCCTGGGTCCTTTTGTACATGTGCTAGACCCTCAGCACTCTGTCACAGTGACATTACGTGATAAACAACCATAAACAAGGGAATCCAGTAGAAACCAAGATAAATGTTCTCCTGCTCTGAGCAACAAGGCCAAAGAGCATAACCCAAGGTAAATGGTCGTCCAAGAGATTCTATTTTGGCTCCTTTTACATGAGGCAATGATAAGAAATTAGTCTATTTTTTCCTGCTCCTAGGGTGTACATAAACATGTCCACTTAGCTTGATTCTGAATTTAAGGCTCCTGCAGCCATCCTGGCTATTTTGTGCCCCTTTTTGTTGTTCCTAGCCTCTCTCCCAACTTGTTTTGATACTTCATTAAGGCTGTTTTGTCTACTTTTCCACCCTTGCACTGTTTGGGGAAAGTAACAGAAACAGTCTTCCTACCCCACACCTTTGAAGATCTCCCCAAAACTATCTTCACCTTGTAAAGGGATGGGCTTGAGGTAAAGCAAAGCCGTCACTTTGTCTTCATGCATTCCCCTGTTTTGTGTCCCTTTGTTTTGCTAGAACAAACTACCTTTGATTTAGTAAGGTTGGTGTATTAGTGCATAATAGATTATCTGTCACCAAGCCAAATCAATCGTGGTTAACAGTGTATTGACAGAGCATGTAGCTACTATCCTTGACTTGAGCTTGAAAATACCTGTTATCAAGATCACCAGCAAAGCAGCATTAAACACCATATTTGTTTCTCTTTGATGATGATCATCTGCTGCAAGAATGTTCTCAGTCAGCCTTAATGTTTTCCCATAGTGAATATCTATTTTCTCTATGAACCAGCTAAACTGAACATTTTTAACACCACTTTGTGTGCACATAAGAAGTCAGTTTCCTTAATAAGGATAAAATAAAAAATGGAAGGACGATAAACCTTCATGCTTCACGGCAAACACCAACCTCTAACTTTCATTCTAAGCCGGTTATTTCTTAACTTCCCACTTGATTTCTTTAATCTTCATCTGAAGCTTCGAGTACTGACCATTGTTGGAGAGAGGATACTGAAGTAGATTGACTACTGGTCTGATCAATTATGGCTGTTCATTTTCTGCTTTTGTGCAATTTTTTTTTACACAGCTCTAGAAAATTTTAATAGCAATTTGAAAAAAATGGTTATAGAAAAATTTATATAGTGTGGTGACACCTTGTGATGTGATAGCTGCTGCATTCCAACCTAGAAATGGCTGTGTTTCGGTAATGGAGGAAGTGTTCTTTGTATATTCCTTCATAAGGATGTTTTGGGATTAATGGGATGGATTTTCAAAATTGCCCAACCTTGGCCTAATTTTGCTCCCCTTGAAGACAATGGACGTTTCCCCATTGACTTCAAGTGGGGAAAAGTTAATACAGAACTGAGCCCTTTTGAAAATCTCACCCAATATTTGTAATCTTGGGTAACAGGTACTAGATATATGCACTGTACTATTATTCGGCCAACTCCTGACATCCTTACTTACTTTTTTACTCTATTCTTACTTGGGCAAAACTGCCATTGACTCCAGTAAGTGTCTACCTGAGTAATGGCTAGGGAAAAATGGAGGGTAAATTGTTCCATTGATTTCTAAACAGAAATCCCTTTAATTTCAATGCAGAGAGTTGCTTAAAAATCAATGGCAGCATATAGCTAGGAGAAGGGACTTCAGGCTTCATCTCATTGTTGAAATGGAAGGAAACTACCTTTTCTGTTGTACCAGAGTTCTGTTCCGTTAAGAACACAGAGCCTAACACCTAAGGGGCTCAGCACCTAACTTGCCACCCCAGGAGAGACCCTGGTGTAATTTAGACAGCCCTTTGGGGCCTATGGCAGTCACTGCAAGCTACTCTATGGGCTGCAGTGCTGCCCAGAATCTCAGTGCACCTTTTACACCTTGGTCTCCCTTCTGGGCTTCAATAGGAGTTCTGAGTGTTGAGCACCTTGCAAGAGCTGTCAGCACACTGCAGGATCTATTTGATCCACCAGTCACATTCTAAGGAGCAAAAGCATATTCTCACAAAGATCTTGTCACTTATGTCCCTGTCTAGCAAAACAGAAAGGTATATGTCTAACTGTAAGCAGATGAATGGTCCCGTTGAATTCAATGGTTCAGCGTGTGCTTTGTTAGATCGGGGCCTTATTTGGGATTTTGCTTGCACGTTTGAAAAGGTGTGAAATATTTATGCTGAATAAGTGAAATAATTATTACCAAGCCAACCTGGGGGAGAATATTATTGATGTACTTTCTATTGCAAGAAAAATGCATTTGACCTCACAAGCAAGCAGTACTTTTTCTAGTTCAGCTTGCAGTTTATGAACAGATGAAAATGTATTCTGCGTTCATAATTTCTAGAAAATGATTAGCCAATATCCACAGCTTTTTGATCTTACTTACCAAAATATACCTTTATGCAAGAGTTAAGCGAATTCTATCAAAAATCATGTATTTTATTCAGTGTTATCTATTCCATTTGATTCTATACAGGTTCTTTCTTACACTGGCCTTATTGCTAGGGTATCTGAGTGCCTTCCAGTGGTGCATTAAGGGACATGACTAACATCTGTCATGTGTGATTCATTCCCCCAGGGGAAGAGTTGTATGTGAAATGGAGTGATTTGTTTCAGTAGGGTTTTGTTTTGGAAATTTTATTTACATGTACATCCTGCTATGCATTTATGTTAAAAGAAGGCAAGGTCAAAGAAGCGTGCCTTGCACTTGGAGCAGTAGGTGATGAGGTTTGTGATGTTCCTTAGCTCCTGGGGGAGTTGATTCCACAGTCGGGGAGTGGCCCCGGAGTAAGATCTGTCTCCTGTGCAAACAAGCGTTGCCCTGGTCAGCGGCGGCTCCAGGCACCAGCGCTCCAAGCCGCCGGGGGGCGCCCTGCCGGTCCCTGCGAGGGCGGCAGGCAGGCTGCCTTCGGCGGCTTGCCTGCGGGAGGTCCGCCAGTCCCGTGGATTTGGCGGCAATTCGGCAGAGGGTACACCGAAGCCGCGGAACCAGCGGACCTCCCGCAGGCAGGCCGCCAAAGGCAGCCTGCTTGCTGTGCTTGGGGCAGGAAAAAAACTAGAGCCGCCCCTGGCCCTGGTGGTAGAAAGTTCTATTGTACCTGAGGAGTGGAGTTGTTTACCATGGTCTTCATCCTGAAGCATTCGGTGATCTTTAGATATGCTGGGCCCAGGCTATTGAGTGCCTTGAAGATAAAGACCAAAAACTTGAACTTGCCTTGATATTTTCAGGAATGAGTTTTGCTCACATGCATATCTGGGGAATGGCTGATCTTTGTACGAATCCCTATATTCACATGCAAACAAGGGTATTCATGTGTGAAGTATTTAAAATGTTCTGCATAACCAATCAGAGTAGAATCAATACCATGTGACTTGTGACTAATATATTCACAAATAGTGAATAATTGAAGTGAACAGTTTTGAACCCATGGGCTGAAAATAGATTGTCCAAACTATTCAGCAAACACTCAAGAATAATAAATGTATCCTCAGACATTAGGGTCAGCTGTCAAATGAATCACACACAGATAATGGACTACATTTGTTGGATAATTTATTTATAATATTTAATTCAGCCAGCTTTGTGAGGATCCATGACTGCAGATAGCACCCAATAGACTGTCAGGAGAAGGGATCCTGAACAAAATGATGTGTGTATATTTTGCTGCACATTTGGCTAAGTTCATACTCAGACATCTATCAAGTAGGATCAAATTCTAGAGTCCCCACCACTAGGAGTACTCCGATAGGGTTCCAACATGATTCATCCATGGGGCAAGTAGCTGAAGTGAAGTGTCTGTGTACTGAAATTTTTCATTCTGCTCCATTACTGTAGTCCCTGCGTACCAAGTGATGCAGTTGGAAGAAACTTTGTAGAACTCCAGCTTCAAGCAGGAGGAGACATTATACTAGTCCCTCTTTCCTCCAAACTCCTAATGAATGGATGAATGCAAACCATTCTCTTTCATTTATTGTACTAAATATTGCTTAGGTAAAGAATAGCTGACCTGAAATTAGAGGCAGGGAATTTGCATTGCACATAAATTGTATGAGATTTTGCTATCATAGGAAGAGTTTGGTGGTACCCAGATCTTTTTAGGTATACCTGTCCCATCGGCAAATTTAATATTTTTCATGACCAGACAAGTTGAACTGAAAAATAGACTTGACTGTATCTGAGGCTGTGATGGTTTTATAACTGTGACATAGTTTCAGCTCTCTAGGTGCCAGACAAGGGGCCTGCATCTCCATTTTAGAAAAGTGAGTTCACACAGTGTCTGCTGCATGCTTTGTGTACAGCTTCCGCTTGACATCATTGCATTCAACACACATGCTGTGTGTTTGTGTAAGGGCTACCAGTTTACTTGATTCAAGTCTAAGGGAGAACACAGACTGTAAAGTAGTAGTTAAAACTTGTGCTGATGCATTAATAATGGTCTAACATCAGAATGTCTGTTATTAATAGTCTTAAATGCCTAAAGTGCTAACAGAAATAGCCATTTCTGGGGAGGAGCACGGCAGCAGTTGTGTCCCAGCCTTACTCCATAATAGATTTTTCAAGTGGAAATGAAAGATAACTCTACAGGTGTTTACAGTAAGTAGTGAAGTAGATATGTAGTCAGGAGAGAGAACTAATATGGCAAGAAATGTCATTGTCTTGGGTTTTATTTCTGAGCCAAATGATAGTGGGCCTGATCCTCTACTGCCTTTACACAGATTTTGGCGTAAAACACCATCAGTTCAATATTTTCCACTCACTTATACTGGTGGTATCATTTTATACTCTTTGTACTCACTTTGCACAAGCATTACTACTAGTTGTAAGTCAGTGGAAAAGTAATGGGACAGAGAAGTAGATCAGGAGCCTCTGATCATCATTATTCATAATGCAAGAAAGAGAACATTCAATGAAATTCATAGGTGGCAAATTGTAAATTGATAAAACGAAACAATTTAAACATAATATTCAAATAGCTTGTGAAACTCATTGCTGCAAGGTACCATGGAAGCTAAGAGCTTGACTGGATTTGAAGAAGGATTAAATGTTTATATAGATAATAAGGCTATATCTAGAAATATATAGTAGAAAAGAATATACATTTTTAAAAGTTTTGGAAAGGGTGCTCCTCTATTGGAGATTAGGTGGAAACTTCCCTTAGGGACAGGTTATCCCATGACTACTGTAGGGCTTCTTGCATCTGCTCTGAAGCATCTGGTACTGCCCACTTTTGGTGAATGGCTACTGGACTAGAAGGACCACAGATCTGATCCAGGACAGCATTTCCTATATACCAATCTGAGGAGCAGCCGGAGGCTGAAGCAGCCCTCAGCACATGTTAGAACTCTTAGGGTATGTCTACACTGCAACATAAGCCCAGGGTTAGTAGAACTCAAGTTAGCAGATGCTGGGTTTGTAAGCCTACAGCTTGAGAATCTATACTCCTTTGTAACTCCAGGTTAGGAATTGATTACCAGAGCACGAGTGGGTACACGGCAGTGTAAGCCCAGGGTTCAAACTTAGGTTCAAGCCTAACCCCCTTTCCATCTACAACAAATCACGCTAGAACACAGGTCTCGGAACCAGAGTCCCAGGATCCCATAGGAGTGGAGGGTCGGAGCCTGAATCAAGCTGGGTCCCAGGATTCATGTCCTGTTGTTTTGCAGTGTAGAAGCAACCCCACTGGACTAATGCTCTTGTATTCCACAATCCCATAAGCAGACTTTGTCCTCTGGACAGTCAAGTTTGGTGGGCTGTTAAGTTTTAATATACTGCATGAACAAAGGGCTGGAGTGGCCATGTTTTGGAAGAGCACTAGGAAGTCTGGGATATGGGTGGTTGGACCCGCATAATACAGTATAGATGCTGGAGTCCCAGTTGGGACCCAGGGTTCAAAAATTCCTAACCTAGGGTTGCAAATAAGGGTAGACGCTCAAGCCCAAGATTAACAAACCCATGCTCTTCTAACTGAAGTTCTACTAACCCTGGGCTTACATTGCGATATAAACATATCCGTAAAGGTCTGCTCTAACTTGTGTTGGCTAGAACAGTCCCCTAAGGCTGTGCTGGCTTCGTGCCACCCAGGAATTTCCCCACATAAGCGTTAGGGGCAAGTCTCCATCCCCTTTGTGTTGCAGGAGACTAAAGTGCCATCTGTTTCTTTATCTGCATTTCCTCTTCACAAGTTGATGGAACTTGTCCCATTGCTGGCTGCCTTGTTGTTTCATTCAGTAATAACCATGCAAGAGGCTTCAGGAAGAATTCATTATTTTCTTTTCCTTCTTTCCATCTCTGGCTCTTGACTGTGTTGCAGCATTATTGTGTGTGGCTCACTCCCCTGGCACCTGCTACTTTAGATGTTCAGTGTCTGTCCCTCCTGCTGTTCCTTAGTCTCCTGTGAAATATCAGTGCCCATTTTTTTCTACTTCAGAGTCCAGCATGCTCTTTCTGATACATTGCTACCTCCAGTCTCAAAGGGGTGGGGGACTTTGTCTGGACTCGCAAGAAAAAAGGGTAGTGGCTCCTTTAAGGATCCCCCCTACTTCAGAAATTGGGGAGGAGGGTGGCTGCCAGGGGGAAAGGAATCACCTGAGCTGATGGGCAGAGCGGTGAGGCTCAAATAACCCATTGGCCCCTATGCACATAGGGGAGGATGTATATACCATATACCTCCAGTCTGAGCCCCCTCTCACATCCAGAGTAACAGCTCGCACCTTCCCATGTCTAGAATTAGCATATAGCTGGGTGTTTTGGTCTGCTGTGGGCAAAGGAAATTTTTCCTCATTGCTAGATTGACTGAGCTGTGGCAGGTATTTTGCCTTCCCCCCTGCAGGTCAGGGTACCACTTGGGTAGGTCAGGAGGTTAGGTTCAAGTTGCTGCAATTTGGCAGGTGTCCAGCACAAATACTCATTCTACACAGGGGCCAATTCCCTGATAAATCAGAGTTGCAAGGGGATTTAGCAGAGGGCATCCATTAATGAAGCTGGGGAATGGGGTTGTGGCTCCTCATTTCTTGTTTAGTGAGGAGAAAACCCCTCTTCCCCAGCTCCCTAACCCTCATATCAAGGGAGGGTAGTGGGGTGCCAACAATGCAGGAGAATCCGATATGGAGGGATGGGGGGCTGACAGCAGCCCTCCACCAGGTGGAAATGATTAAGGAAGGAATCATGACCTGCACTGTACAAGTTATTGCTGGATAGTTCCCAGATGAATTAAGTTAATAAAGTCGCAGTCTAATTAAACCACATCCATTGCATCTTGTCTTTCTGCTAGTGCATCAGGGACAATCCCCAGGATTTGACCTTAATCTCAGATTCTCATTTTCTCCTCCCTGATGGTGTTTCCATAGGGTTAATTATATATGCATAAAAGTTTGATTCTAGTAGCAGAGCAGTAATATTGAAAATGTTTGGGAATGAAACAAATAGCACTTCTAAAGGGAAAAATTTAGAAGGGAGAGGACAGATCTGCCACTGGCAGGACCCACGTACCATTAGAAAATGGATTGACCTTATCTGCCTTGTACCTGAAAAGGGTGAATTGGAGTAGATGTTTGGAAAACAAAATAGCTAACAGCTGCTCTGAAGAAGGTGTCTACCACCCACCCAAAAACACACATTACTCCAGCTGATGCTTAAACACCATCACTGGGCTCACAAACTACCAGCTTGTCACTCAACTTCTCTGTCAGCTTGCTCAGAAATTAATAAAGAATTTTCTCCAACTTCAACTGCTGCCAGAGGGAGGATTTCCAGGTTAGGAAGGAAAAAAGAAAAGGAAAAACCCTTCAGTAGCTTTGTGAAGCACAAGGTTCTTCTAATGCTACTTAAAAAAAAAAGCGCGGTTATCGAAGCCAGGAACAAACATTTCTCAGACTTGCACAAAAGATACTAATCCTCCTTCTTAGACTCAACCCAGAGGGTAGTAATAGACAGCTGCTCCTTTGTCTCTATGCACTTTTGCTTTAATTTTTGGTTTGGGCTCTGTTGGAACTTCAGGAATAAATAACCAACTAATAACATTTTCCGGATATTCTTTCTGTGTTGTTACCTGGAAAGGTTGCAGTTTTACCAGGATTCCAGATTATGGTAGACTTCGGTGTGGGGCTTTCTAGGTTCACTTTGTTTTTGTTTTGTCTCTGGCTGGACCATTTAAAACCCTATTCTGGTTCAGCTGTAATTAAATTGGAGCAAGGTCAAAGCTTGAAAAAACAAACTACAGCTACATACAGTTTTGCTTTGAATCTGTTATGATCCTGCTCTCTGTGTATTTGCATTTTTCCGTGTTTATGCCTTTAATTGTCTTCAGAGTCAGCTGCCTTTGAGTGAGGCAGAATGATTACAGTGTGTTACAGGGGAAGGGGGGCAAACTGTGTGTGCATGGAGACTTTTGTTCTGTCTTATTGTTTGCCTTAGACCAAAATTAATAACAATTTAGGCTGAGAATGATTATATTATTGTTCTTTGTGTATGGGGAAATAACATGACAATTCTCATTATGAGGATGGAATAATAAAGACCCAATAAAGAGCTCTGAGAAGGTGAAGAACCAGTGGCAGAGCCTCCTGGTTTTAAAGAAGGAAGGTTGAAGTTGCAAGTATGGGGAGGGGAATGTCAAAATGAGCTATTTTATTTAGATGAAGGTAAACTACAAAACACAATAATTGATAAAAGGAGGGGAGATCCCATGTCCATTTAAATTTCGTTTCCAAGCCCAGGGCAAATCCCCCATACTTGGCTTGCTCAACCAAAGATGATCCATTCCTTTTCATCCCCCCACTTCACTGATACAGCTGCTACAACATAGGTCCATGCTTACTCAAGGAATTCTTGCTCTTTCTAGCTTCCTTTCTACTATGGCTGAATAGTCACCTCAATTAAAATCTATTGTAGCTTCACAGCTGGAACGGGAGTAGAGGGTTCTTAGGGAAGTGATGTGGAGCAAACAGCACTGGAAAAGACATCTGGGCAGGTGGAATTTCCATCATCAGGGACACAAGATAAGGAGTGGGAAGAAGCTCCAGTCTTGTAACAAAAATGCTTTTCTATTAAAGGCCCAGGCTTACAGCAACTGCAGTTTGAGCTGGGTCATTGGGATTCTGAACTATGTACTTCAGTCTAGCTTATGGATTTTAAATCTGTCACACTGTCTTTTATTATAGATGTGGCCCTGCACTTGCAACCTGTTCTCTTGATCTGTTGCCAGGAAGGCTTTTGTGGCAGTGCTTGGAAGATATACTGCAGCAGCTCCCTTTTATAATATCTATCATTAACACCTCTTTTGGCATCTGGGAGAGTTTCTTCTTTGCTGGAGATTGGAGCAGTTGATTAAGCAGCCTTTCGCTGTCCTCAGGCAATTTCTCAGATTTCCACCTTATTTCAAATCTACCTTTCTTAGCAAGGTTCTGGAAAAAGGTTGTGGCAGGGCAACTGCAGCCCTTACCTTCATGATGATAACATACTGTTTGAAAAATTTCAATCAGGCCAAAGCACTGAGACAGCTTTAATGAGGATTTGTAGTGACCTTCTGTTTTCTAGTAGGTGGATTCTGGCACATTGTCAATTTTAATTCTTACTGATCTTTCTGTGGCTTTTGATACTGTAGATCATAGGTTTCTCTTAAAATACTTGTAGCAGATCCTGAGCCTTGTGGGCACTGTTCTGACATTGCTTCATTAGTATTTGCCTCAGTGGTGCCAGTTTGTCACTATAAATAAGTGATCTTCTGATATTGCTCCTTGAATTACGGAGTTCCCTAGGGCTATGAATTGGGCGTGTCCCCTGCTTTTCAGTATGTATATGATAGCTATGGCTTGCATCTCTTGCCATTATAATGTTTATAACTGACAGAGAGAAGGCACTCAAATGTATTTATTTTTTCCTAAAATCATCTAGCCTCCCTGTCAATGTAGAATTTTCCTTACTGTAAGCTTTCTAGAATTCTTTGTCCTATCTAATTTAAAATATTAAGGAATAGGGTTTCCAATCTTTCCTATTCACTCAAGACGGTGTTTCTGAGTGATCCTTTTCTTATTTCTCTTCCATTAGCTCAGTTGTGCCCCCTAAAAAATTGGTGTTTACACCCCTCACATATTTGTAAAATATTATGATATTGTTTATTTAGATATTAAGGAACACTTTGAAGCCCTCGCCAAGATTGGGGCCCTGTTGTGGCACTGAACAAATGCATAATAAGAGACAGTCTCTGCCCTTCTTCTTATTGGGTGTGGTGCTTCCCAAGCCAATTTGTAGCAGACTCATCAGCAAAGTGCAGAGTCCTCAGACCACCATTAAATCTGGTCAGAGGGCAGTCGTCGGTGATGTGTGACATTGTCTGTCTTTGGCCACACCCACACATGGGATCGTCTCGTTGGCCCCAAGTGTGAAGGTTGGCTGCACATTGACCCTGGCCCATTAGAAATCAGTTCAGAAGGGCCCATGAGTGGTGTAGCAAATCAAAGCTGGGTACATGCATGGTCGGGTCAGTTATAAAAGACTGGTTCTGATGTTAGCTGTAGACCATTCTTCACGCCACATTGAGATCACAGAGAAATCTGGGCAGGGCAAGTGGTCCACAACAGGTGCTTTGACGACAAGCGCATTCTTGAGTGGTCGAAGAGATCTGTGTATAGCGGTTGGATTTGCCCTGATTTTCTCTATCATTCTAGCTGTAGTATCCTCATGATGAATGTGTGGAGGAGCTATGCTGCTTAACACTACTGATGTGGGTCAAATCGTCCCAGTTATGAAGAGCATGGTTGAGTGTAGTTGTGTGTCAGCCAACTTGACGTGAGATAAATGGAGCCAGACTGGAGCACAGTATTCTGCTGCAGAGTATCAGAGGGCTAAATAACTGGATGATTGGAAAGTTTGAGCATTTGTTCACCATGAATTGCTGGCAAATTTGTTTATGTGACCTCAATATTCCTCAGGTAGTGAAAGATCTATCTAGTGTTACTCTGTGGTAGAGGTGGGATTCATGTTTCTAGCAATGTCCATTGAGAAAGATATTCAGTTCTTGGGCGGTTGAGGTGCATTGTAAAGATGGAACACACTCAATACTGTCTTGGGCACACTTGATCGTAAATGCCACTGACTACAGTATTCGGCCATCTTAGTCAAGTCTTCTGTTAATGACCCTGCTGGAAAGCCTAAGCAAATGCCATCTGTATACATGAACTTGTGGGACTGGGTAAGTGGGAGGTTGTTTGTGTACAAATTGAAAAGTGTTAGTGCTAGCAAAGAGGCTTGGGATAGACTCTTGATTTCTTTTCCATGCACTAACTCTGTCTCCCACGTGCACTTGGAAACACAAGTGGAGGAGGAGATCAAGGGCGTTGGCTATGCATGCTGGAAGTGCTCTTAACAATTCGACTAAGAGCCCCATGTGCCAGACTGTGTCATATGCTGCTGTTAGGTCCAGAAATATGACTCCAATCTTTTCTAAAGATAGTTTTTGATTAATGTTATCAAAGTTAGCATTTGATTGTAGATTCTCCAATCTCTCTGAAAGCCTGTTTGCTCAATGCTGAGAATTGACTCCATATCTGGGAAGATGACCTGGAGAATGAGATGCTCCAGCACCTTGAATGGCACAGATAACAGGGATATTGGTCAATGGCTTGCAACATTGTTAGTCCTCCAGTTTCATGAGAGCAATGACTTCTGACATTTACCATCTCTTTGGAAGTCACTGTTGGTTGACCACTCACAAGAAGAACTGCACCAGCAGTCGGAGGTGCTTCAAAAACTCTGATGATATGTTGTGATAGCCAGCAGCAATGCCGCTCCTAATATCACTCAGAATTTTGTCTAACTCTGTGGTTGCAGACGGCTCTATGTGTTGCCAAGTGGCATTTCTCTGATAGAACTGACACCATTTGTCATGGACTTGTCATCTGACATTCTTCTCCTCTGGGGTGTTTGACACGTTCAGCAGACAGCTGGCAGCTTGGTTTGGCATGACAGCTGGTTGGCTTAAGGCTGGTGGTTCCTGAGCTGTGCTGCAATGGCAAATCAAATTCCAGCATTTGTGGCTTCAATTAATGATATCTAGATACTGAGTTGTCATTCCTCTCTGCACTGAAGAGCTTACAATCTAAACAGAAAAGATAGACAAAGGGTTGGAGAGGAAACGGACACATGGTAAGGTAGGCAGCTTACGGTCACGCAGTGACTCTGTGGCAGGGTTGGAAATGGAACCAATTGTGTCTCAGCTTCCAGTCTATTGCCTAACTCACACTGCCATTGTTTCCCCTTTGAAGAGAACTATTTCCTTCTTGCTCTGTGACCTGGTGTCACTTTGTATGCATCTAAAAATTGCATTAGTCTTTTTGACTCCAATTTCAATGTGAAATTCATGTCTAACTTTTTCTTTTCTATCATACCTAATTTGCTTTCAAAATTGCTTGTTCCACTTCCTCCATCAGTGATTCAGATTTTCTTGCCACATGTATTAGTTTATATTTTGAAGGTAAATCTCATTTTATACACATGCTTCTAATCTCTCTAGGTCCCTCAGTATTATTTTTCTGTTCTCATGGGTATTTACAGCTCCTCCTTAATCCCTGTCAGCTGTAAATATCACTAGCATGTTCTTTACACTCTCTTCTCCAAATTGTGAAAGAAAATGTTAAATGAGACCAGACCAATCAACCATCCTGACTGGACTCTGCTGGACATTCCCCTACTTAATACTTTGCCATAGGGACATAAACATTGCCATACCAGAATAGACGCTTAATCCAGTGTCCTATCTTCAGTAATGGCCAATAATAGATGCTTTAGAGGAAAGAGGAAGACAATAATGGACAATTATACAGTAGCCTGCCCGACGGGGAAGTTTCCAGGTAGTTAGGGGTTGCAAGTTATCGTTATCCTTTGTTTATAGTCTTTGAGCCAGTTTTCAATTCACAGGACAGTGGATCCAAGTTGATTTGAATTTACCTTTTCAAGTAAGATTCTGAGAGACTCGGTATCAAATGCTTTACTAAAATCCAAACATATTACATCTAATGCATACTTTCCATCCAGTAGTATTCTATTAAAAATGCAGTGAAGTTTGGTAAGATATCACCTTCATAAACCAACACTGTTCAGCTCCTCATGTTTGTGGTGATTTAAAACAAAAAATATTCCATTATTTAGTTAGAACTAGAATTTAGACTTACCCAGTCGCAATTATCAGGAACACTCTTCTTTCCAATTTTGGAAGTCAGCACTACATTTTCTTTTCTGTAGCCTCTCAGTTATTCTCAGTTGCACAAGACTTTTCACAATCATTGTCAGCGGTGTGGTAAATAGGATCAGGAATTCATTTCATATGCTAAAATGCAGACCATCTAGATCAACTGATATTTATATATGTTCCATTTTAACAAGCATCACATTGCTTACCCTCTTCTATAATTATTTTTCAAGGATCTGTGCCATTGTTACCATCAGATAACATTACTGACGTGCTATGGCTGTACAAAGCTCCATAAAGCTGAGAGGTCAGCATCAAAGCTGATCACCAGAACTAAACATTCCAAGCATAACTCCCAAGGGCTGTGCTGGCTTCTTATTAAACAGTATATTGATTACAAGATTACACTTTTTAGAAACAAGGCATTGCATGGTCATGTGTCTCTGGATTTGAATTGCCTTCTTATTCCCTACGTAGAAAATCTTGCCCCTGTCTCTGCAGAGTAACTGGTTGGGGTGGACAGGCCAAATTTGTATGGGGTCTTCATGGGAAGTACATACTCCTGATGAGGAGCTCGGCATCCTGCATGTCGGGGCAAGAGTATCAGATGGTAGCAGAGAAGGTGGTAAGGCTGCGTCTGGATGACCCACTGCCCCAAAGGTTTTCCAGTCCTCTCTCAACATTCCTGTACCTCCACAGACAAGATGTGTTAAGGCTACAGGAACTACTTCAGGCTGCAGCTACAAAGCTGCACAGCTGCAAGTTCTCTGTGTGGAAAGATCCTGTCCTCCCGGTGCATTTCCCAAATGCCTACCTCAACTTCAGTATTCGGCTGGGTGCTGGACTGAGGCGTTGCCCCTATGTGCATAGTCCTGCCTTATGATCTACTGATGAGGGTCTGGTAGTAGTTCTGGTAGTAATAGTTCTTCAGAAATAAGAGCTATGTGCACTTAGTTTTCGCTCCATGTTGAAAATGACTGGGATGTGGAATGTCCTGCACATGGATCAGCACGAGCACAGGCAATTGTATAAATGTGAATAATTAGCAAAAGGCAGTGGTGAATTTCAGCTATTGCAAGCTAGTCAGTTTAGCTGCTTGGTTTAGGGGTGAGTTAGGTATGTTAAACGTAATGCAATATTCTACCCAGCAGGGAATCAGGTTAAAATGTCATCAGTGCTCTCCAGTCCTCCAACCTGCCCACCCCACTTTCCTTGAAATGTTCTAGGGTCCTTTTGTCTGCAACAATTTATATATTTTAATTTACGAAATGCACTTAATGCAGCCTTGCAAAATTCTAATCACCCACTCATCCAAGGTGATGAATATATTTTGGGGTGCAGGGTAAATATTTGTGTTAGGGAGTTCCCAACACCAGCACCAATATACATTTTTGGCCTGGTACATTTTCAGGACCGTTTTGAAAGGCTGACCTAATAATAATAAAAACCCAAGATGTTATGTAACTATGTCACAGCAGCGAAGATAAACCTGTCGTATACAATTATGTACAGTCCTGGGTTGCTACTGCCAAATGGAGAAGGGCAGAGATGATATCTCAGAATTCAGTAGCATACACAGTATTCCCTTGATACTTGTAAACTATTCATGTTAGGAATAGTCGTCCAGTCATGTACAGGTGATGTGACTTTTAATTTGACAGCCTGCATGCTATGTACCACAAAATGCTTCAAACCCCTCTATTTACTCTAAACAACGTCTGTTCTGATTTGTTGTACCCCACACAAATTGGTTGAAGAAAACCATATCCATTTTGCTCACCATTAAAATGTTGAAGTATCAAAATATGAGGGCAAATTAGTTTTTTAATGTGATAAGTGGTGTTTCTTAGCTTCTGAAATTCCAGTCGTGGCCTATGGCAAATAGTTGCCCTTTCCCTTTAAATGAAACACATAGGATCAGGGCTATACATATGCCATTGGTTTGCACATTTGATTTTACTATTATGGAATCAAAACTCCAGGGATTATCCAAAAACCATGTCAGGTCATTGGTTGCAGAAGTCTGCATTAGGAATTTTCTATTAACAGGTATAGTTATGCAAATGAATACTGGTAGGCAGCTTCTCCTCAGAGAAGTTTTACTAGCTAAGTATAGGATAACTTGAAAACGTTAAATTGTTTTCACTGAAATTTTCTTAGGATGGTAGAAACTTAAAGAAAATGGCACATTATGGTAAGCCTGTCCACTTCCAGGGTGCCACCATCTGAAACATAGAAGAGAACATAGAAAGTCTGGAACTAAGGTTGTCTGTTTTTTGGAATATTGCAAAGAGAATTGGTTATGTGTTTCACCCCACAATTGACTTCACTTAAGAATGTCCCCTGTAGAGCAAAATTCTCCCCACTGCACACTGTGGCTCTCCATTGCATAATCTACACTCATTCCATGTGCAGAACTTCCATAGATGCCAAAGGGAATTGCACATACCGAACTGACACACACACTATAAAATAGTAATGGGCATGTTAAAAAGGAATCTGCATTACAGGCCAGAAAAGAGGGCTTTTCTCATAGTTACAAAATCAGTTCATTAAGCACTTTGGAACCTTTGGAGAAAAGGCTGCAAATAAATGTCAGATGACAGCATCATTAGTCGTATTTATTATAATATATAATATACAGTGTTTATTGATAAGACAATATACTGTCCAGTAGCTGAATCACATAGTAGATCAGAGAGATCACCAGTTCCTGTCAGACCAAAAGTAATCTAGACCCATTAAAAACTGCATGGTATTATGAAGCTATAACTGAAGTTAATCATCATATGTAAATAGGCAAACTGTGCACTGGATTATCTGACAGTAGTTTGACAGATATAAGGCCACAAAGTTGAGCACAGTAGAAGAGTTGTTTGCAATATTCAAACCTTTTTGCTCACCCCAGACACACAATATTAACATTATGATTTCTAAATTAGAAGTTCTATTACATGATGTGCAAAAACTAATAAAATCCTTTATCTGCTTCAGGTGACATAAAATGTTTTGTTTTACAAAGTGCTGCTCGGATGTTTGTTTTACCCATATTTTGGAGCCACTATAGAATGCAGTGATCTTACTGGAGGGGAGAGACTGAAAGATGCTGATCATTTAAATAATCAAGAAGTGTTTTTTCTAGCAAACATAATTATCTGAACACCTATCTATTCAGAATAAGAGTGATATGGATTAGATTTCCCCTGCCCACTGACACCCCTTTACATTTTTTTTGTTTTTATTTTGGGGGCTATGAGGGTTGTGTACATAGAGAGAAAAGGTCGTGTTCCAGGGTTATTTACAATCCAGAATTGGATGGATACTCACAAATGTTTCATCACGTGTTTGCTGCTCTTAACTTAGATTTAACATAATAATTAGTTCTCTCCATTTTATTAGGTCATTCAGACTGATACACATCCTGAACTGTAGTTTGCTAATCTTCTCTGTAATTAGTAATTATGATATACTTAACCCTGATAGAATCTGATATTTCAGTTTCCAGATGTTATTTTAAATTCCTCTCTCTTATCAATATTTGAAAATGGATGTGGTTAAATTTGTAATGATATCTTAATTATTTATGTTTTAGTTTTATCCAGTACCTTGCTGCATGGCAGTATACAGTATTTCAGTATCATCTTTAAACTGTTGGCTGCCATCTGGACTATATTGCTACTAAATAAAATCAGATGGAAACCTTTACCTTTCCATTGTCTCTGATTTATTCCAACCATATATCTGAACTAAGCACAGTCCTGCTAAATCCAATCTATTTTCAAAAGATTTATGAAATTAGCTTAGATTCTGGAACTTGATATTCATTCTTTGAAGACTGTTTATGAAGAGACTAGTGAATGGATTAGTGGAAGGAGAAGCAGTGTGAAATAATCAAACTAGTAAAACTAAGCTGTAAAAAGATTTTTTTATTCTAGGGAAGGTATTGCAAATCCGTCTTCATCCCATTCCAAAGATTTTGTTCAGCTGAGTCCATTGCAAACCAGTCTATTAGAAGATAGGCTATTTATATCTTGGGAGAGAGCTACAAAGCAATTCAAAGGATTTGGATGCCCAACTCCCATTAGAAACTAATGACAGAGAAAATCCCACTAGTAGAGTATAAACTTTAAAAAGAGTCTGAAGTTAGGAGTGTAGCCAAAATAAGTGCACAAGTTCTGGGTGATATTTTCATTTGATGGGCAGGAGTGTTAACTAATAAAAATCTGTATTTGTGTTTTAAATAATTAGGGTAGTTATAAGAAGTAAATTTTATGTTAATTTGAAATTGATTGCCTCTTCTCTGGAATAGGATTGGGAACTAATAGCAAGATCTGCTTAAAAAAGGAAGCCACAATATGGCCCACAGTAACAACAAAATTTGTTTCAGAAGTTATAGTGTATACTTGGCATACAGATGATTAATTCAGATTGAAATCTATTTAGGCCTGGAACAAAAGCAGAAAGTCTAAATGCAGCCTGGCAAATTTATCTGTCTTTTAGAAATCAAAGTAATAATCAGAATTGGTATCACTTCATCTACTGGAATAAAATGAAAGCAAAGGGCCTATGTGCTAAAGAGACCTTTGTTTTTTTAAAGTGATTCTAAGGGTATGACAGGTGAATCCATTTAGCAAGACTGGAAAGTGAAATGTTTTCCTAATAGCATGGATGAAACAATTTTAGTTGTCAGTGCAGTTGGAATGATGTCATGCATGGTTATACTTTAATTCTTCCTGCATTTACTAAAGGGGGAGTGGGGTCTAATATCCTGAGACTGAATAACTGAATGCAAATCCTAAAGCTGGAAATGAAGAGCCTTCCCTTTTCAACATGACTAACGTTAATTTTTTTCTACAGAAAAAATGTCTCTTTAATGGTAATTGCCATTTATTGTAAATGTGCCACATAAAGGAAGCTATAAGTCATTATTATTGACCTATTACTGCTCGTTCTGTTTTACCTCTAATTAAATAAAAATGTGCACTTTGAGATAATATGCTTTTTGTTTGAATATTCTTTTATTGGACCTATGCCTGGTAGGTTTTCTAACAGTTCAGAGCTTGTGCTGATACTTTTGCAATTCCAGCACATGTACTGTAGTAATCAAAATCTACCCCTCATTTTTTAATTAAGCAGCAGAGATGTTTTCATCTAACTTGTTTTCCCTTAGTTGTGTTATATTTTCATCAAAATTTTTACCTACTTGCTTTCTACTGAGACTTCCAAACCCATGTCCTACCATTGGATTGCATTACAATTCACTTCCTGCTTGAATTG